CGGTCACGCAGTCGGAGTCGTGGTAGGAGGTGTGCTTCAGTTTGTCCTTTATTTGTATTTGCTTCTTTTGTTTAGAAAAAACTACATTTGTACAGCTCTTTAATTGATTTCTTCGTAGGTCCAGGTCAGCTTCCTATCGTAGGTCCCGGTCCGTTTCTCCTCGTAGGTCTAGGTCTGTGTCTCCCCGCCGGTCCCGATCAGGTTCCTTGAAGAGATCAAGGTAATTAGTAATTTTTAATGGGTTGGGTGCTTCGTTTTTGTTGTTGTTTTTCGTTTTAGTTAAGGGATTCAAAAAGGTATTTGATAGCGGACTTCAGAAGGTGTTGACCTCTAGAAATCAGACTTTAGCATGCTTTAAAGAGTTTCTGATAATCAGAATCTGAGGATTTTACAGGCATGGTAATACGATTAGTTTTGAGACCTTACACAGCTGCATATCCCATGATGCATTTTGACATCTAAAACATCTAATGGTCATGCAGTTTTTGAGCTCAACATGTAGACATTTATCTAAATAGTGCTGTAATTGTCATCACTTCTGTTTGACTTGATTTCTTTGATTTTGTTTTAATTGGTCGTAATTTTTTTGTTTCAGGTCTAGATCAAGATCCAGGTCTAGATCAAGATCTGTTACATGGCCCCGAAGCAGGTGAGATCTCTTCTGTGACTGCAGATTCTTTGTAAAAATTGCTTAGAAGTCTGTTTAGGCTTTCTAACAGCTGGTAATGTTTTCAGAAAAAGCTGTGTTTTTCCCTCCACTAACTGCAGGGTCTGTAGTTTTAAAAAGCAGTGCAGAACATTGTTCTTTCTCTTCTTATTGTTTTACATATCACTGATAATCCAGATCCCCATAGTCATCACAAGTACTGTTTTGATCAGGTTGCATTAACAGCTAACATAGCAAACAAATTTAGAATTAATTGGAAAGTTGTTTTCTCTTTCTTTGCGTAACACACAAAAGATTGTGGATTCTTCTCATTATTTGTCAGAAAAATCAGGATGCGCTTCCGATAGCATATTAAAGCGTTAATGGATATAGCCAGGCAAGTCATGAAGGGCTTGCTAGTGCCGTGAGTGTTACAACTGTTTCCAGCTCTGTTAAATAACAAAGTGTCAGTCTGCAGGAGCTGATTTAAATTTGAGATAAACACCTGTCAATTATTTTGTACCAATAAATGTGCCATAAGAGTGACGATCAAATTTTAAAGGAACACTGAATGTCATTCGTTCTCTTAAGTTGTAGTTTAATCCTTCCATAGGAATTGAATGCAGCTTGTGCTTTATGCAACCTTGTCCAGGCAGCATGGCTGACATGGGTTGATGGATGTCCTCGGTGAGCTGTCGTAGGAGAACGAGTAAATTGAACTTCAGATCTGAAGAGATTGGTACTGCTCTTGCCACAGCTCGTACCTGGGCCTACTGTTCTGGTTTGGTGGCTGCTCTTTGAAATAAATAACATAATAGTCCACCATGAAGAAACGTAAAAAAAAAATGAAGGGAAGCTTTTGCTGAAGGGAGTGAGTGAGTGGAAAAGCCTACAGCTGAAGATGGGAGATTCAGTGCTAAAAGGTGGTGGTCGCATTTTCTGGGAGTAGAACCGCAATGACAAGTTTTTAGGGAATGGAGAGATGAAGACCAAAAGATGGTTTAGTTAAGAGCAGAAACTCACACAAACAGTCCAGAAGCTAGTAAAAAGAGAAGGGAAATTTCCTGAGGAAGTAGAGCAATGCCTTTCACTGATCAGGTACACTTTCTCTATCTGCTGCTAAAATATGTTTAATCTTAATACCAGTTGTTCCAAACGTGACTTAATCATGGCTCATCACTTTCCACTGTCAGTGATGAGCAGAAAACAGCTACAGTTAACAGGCTTTCAATGAGAAAAACATCTTGATTTTACCACCATTGTTTTCTTTTTTTTTAGTACCAGGATGGTTTTCTGCAGTGTAAAGAATACTTTTAGTGAAATTTTTAGATTGTATTGCGTGACACCTTTCATTGTAAGTAGAGACTAAGTGACTGAGGCAGAGGAAATTACAGACATACAGGTACAGAGAAGTGGCAAAATATTGGTGCTTAACTCTAATGAAGTCACTGTTAAAACTTCCACATAAGGTGATTGAAAGATAGTTGCTTTACAGGAGAGTGAAAGGAATGCATAGCACCCAGAGATGGGTGCTTGATTCATAAGGAGACAGACTGTATAAGTGTTGCATGATGTTTGGTTCGACAGTGTCAAAGCATACATCTGGAAGTTGTGGAAAGCCTTGGATGTGGAAATTAGACCATTTCCTTTGGGAACCTAAAAATGTCAGTTACTCTTTTGGGCAGTATTAGTGTTCTTACGGTGCAGCAGTCCTATCTCAAAGACTGACATTTTTGACAGTCTTTTCAGAAGGGTTAAGTTCAGACAGATTTGAAAAAATACTTTGAGCAAGTGCATGTGTAAGATGAAGTGCGCTGAGGAGAAGATATTTGTAGGAGCATGCTGCCTGTGGCCGTTTTCAACTGTGGTGGTAAATGTCACTCAAACTTAATAAAACTTGCAAGTTGAGCACGACTTTTTATTAGCTTTGTGAAAATACTGGTCAGGATTTGGATTGTTCATGTATTCCTGCCACCTGCATCAGCAAACACCAGTCATCAGCCAGGGACCAAAGTACAGAGCGACATGTGCAGCATCCATTTAAAAAGCTTTCTTCTGAAACTTAGCAGGAAAAGCCTTGGGAACTTACAGGATTCTGTCTGTTAAACATGACAGTTCTTATACATTTAGTGTGAATCTTGCTGTCTCAAATGTGGGAATATGCATGCTACCACCTTCCCTGCTGAGCTGTGTTTTTTCTTGTTGTAGGTCTAGGTCTCATGGCAGATCAAAATCTGGCTCACCGGCTAAGAGGTAAGCATACAGAGATAAAGCCTGCAGTACTATTTAGAATTCAGTATTGGGCTTGCCTGGTTAACAGAGTCCTTTAGAAAAAAAATCGCCCAAACATGGCTGCCCAGCTAATCTGTTTGCAATATGAAATTATAAAATTTACTCTGCAGCTATTTGGAATATGTTCCTTACCCATCTCTTTATTTTCATTAACTCTTTGTAGTTTCCAACATAGTACTGATCTTTTTGTGCCTTTGTGCTCAGTTCTGTTAAATTTTTCTATCCATCAGATAAAGGACTTCAGCTTTATTAATGCTGTTGATAAAACCGCAGGAATCTGTCATGATGTTTCTTTGCTCAAAGCCTCACCTCACTACTACCCTTTGTTTTCCTGTTTTCTTTACTGAAGACAGCTGCTTAAAATTGATCTCCACGCTACATGAATTGAGAATCCCTGTCACTGTAAAAGTTGATTTGAAAACTTTGCCATTTTAAAGGGCTTCTGGCTAGGTTCCCGTAATAATTCTATTGCTGTCTTAAGATGCTTACTTTTTTGAATATAAAAGTTCCATTTGACCTTTAAGCTGCATTGACAATATTCTGTTTTGACAGTCGGTCAAAGTCCCGATCACCATCTCCAAAGAGAAGGTATGTTGATCTCCCTGCTAATAACGTAGACTCCGTAGAGCTGGCATTTTAGTATCTGCAGTGATCTCTGCTGAGGAGTTTGACTGCTGCTTGTAGGAAAGTACTGGACAGGTATTTTGCTGAGATCTCTTGGATAGAAATAATGTTGTGATTGTGGTTTTATATATGGTAATATATATGTAGTAATAATTCCTCGGGATACTGGTTCCGTAGCAGTGTTACGTCTTGCCTTTGTCTGCTCCTGTGTTCATTTCAGTTCACTAACAGTTTTATTGCACAGAGGCTTTCTACTGGTGAGCTTAAAGCACAGAATAAAAGTGGGAATCAGCTTTGAGTCTCATTAAAAGCTAGAGTGAGATTGGGGAAGATAACCTGGCATAGTCAGGAATGGAAGATCAAGCCTGTTATTTTTACTGCTGTTACTCAGCTTATTTTGTTTCCCAATAAGTTGGTAAATAATTATCTCTGTGTGTGTATGCATATATGTGTAGTGGGAGAATCAGCAGCATTTTTTTCCTAGTTTGAATTCTTTATTAGTTAATTTTTATGACTTCAGGAATTACAGGGACAGGATATATCCTAGTAAGAATAGCTGTAGGCCTGCCATTGTGTCCCCTGCCTTGGTGATCTTTCTGCTCTGCAAGTTGTTTCTTTTTTTTTTTTAAACATACTTATAGAACTTCTACGCTTAGGTTTGCTTCATTTAAAAACTTGGCTATATGTAGTCTAACCTCATACACAATCACAGGGACGTGAATAAATGCTGGGTGATCACCGTAATAGGTTTTGACATGCTGCTGTATCAGAACAGTGAAGAAGTATCCTGCCTCCATGAAGGTCACTATTAGTAGTACCTTTTAGATGACTTGACAATGATCACATATAAATTGTATTATAAAAATAGCAGTAGAGAAGTGCAAAAATGTGAAAGTAAAAAAAATAAATGTATTATCTCTAACATTAAATCATCAACCCATTAACTTTGTGAATAGTGATTGATTATTTTATTAAAAAAACAGTGCTTAAAGGGTGCCAGAGTAGTCTAGGTATCCTCCTGTTGCTTTTTTTTTTCCTGTATTTGTGAATCCCAAATGACTACTGAAATGTTAACTGTGGATTCTTTTCTTTTCAGTCGTTCACCATCAGGAAGTCCTCAAAGAAGTGCAAGTCCTGAAAGAATGGATTAAAGTTATGAAGTTAATCTTTTAGGAAGAAAGTTATTTTGCTTACATTATTATAAGGGATTTTGTGGTGTCTTTGTAAATGTAAGAATGTAGATAGAGTATATCAACTAAAATTTGGCATGATCTGGGTCTTCTGAGTTAGTCACACCAATAGACTAGCACAGGTCTCTTTTTATTGTATGAACTAACTTCCTGTGATACAAAAATGTGGGACTTTTTTATTGGCACATTGAAATAAAATGTGTATTTTTAACTAAAACTTCTCTGTAGTAACCCTGCTGCTTCTGTTAACATTTAGGTGATTTTAGCTGTGTGTTGTGTAATGTGGATGAAAAACGTCTAAAATGGGAATGACTAATATCAGTATCTTCTCAGACTAGTCACTTTTCACATTTATTGTTGAATGGCCTTTGATGAAAGGATCAGTTTCTGCTTGCTTTGAAATGGAATTTAAAATCCATTTCTGTCTGCAGGTGGCTAAAAACTTGCATATGCCTTTTTTCTTCCTTTATGATATTTAGCGGGCATTGATTTTTCTCCCTGATCTAATTAGTCTGCAAAGCTTACTCTCTGGTGCTTGACAAGTTGTCATACCAGATGCTCAAAAATTTAAGGATGAGATTTTATTCAAAACACTGGTGTCTTTTAAATGAGTAACATCTGCAGAAACCTCTGAACATAATAGAAATCATTAATAACTTGACAATTGCTACTTTCACTTGTTGCATTTTTTTAGTTCTTTAGGCTCTTAATATCTCAAGGCCTGTTTTCCTTTTTTGAGGGAAGATGTAAGGTCTTCTGACCTGATTTCTGAAGGACCTTAGGAAAATGTGTTTGAGAGGCAGAAGAAAGCTGTTAATAGTCTTTCTGCAGCTCACTCAAACTTTCCTTCTTAAAGTGAAAGTTTATCACAGCTGACCTCAGCAATTCTAACTTGCTTCACGGGAATTAGTATGGTTTTGAAGCAGCCCAGATCCTGGAGATGATTTTGTTGAATTAAGCTAATTTCTTACAGCAAATACACACCTGCAAGATTAATTATATATGTATAGGTATGTCAAACTCTGTGTCCTCATTCTGTAGTCAAGAATTGCATGACAAGGCACTTTATTGACACATCACAGCAAAAGACTGGAAACAATGTTAAATGGTGAACAAACAAACTGGTAGGCAAAGGGGAAAAAAGCAAACATTTTTTACTGTGATGGGATATCTAGCAGAAATAAAGGCCAGTTTTGTCAGTAAACGAGCACTGAAATGGAAAGTGAGGCCTATTTGGGCTTATGAAATCTATCAAGGCAGTTTTCTTCCAGTTTGCAGCAGAGCATCTTAGAAAAAAAAAATTACAAGATTAACTTCGGTCACACCCATGATCTTGAAAAAACAGGTTTCCTGTTAACAATGGCTTTTATGGAGTTTTTTCAGTGTATGAGTAAATAGTCCAGATTCTGAACATACTGTCATGCTGCAGCATTGTCTGGCCTTTATGTCTAGCCCTAACTGTCGTGGTGCTTGGTGTCTGTCTGGGCACTCCTGTGGTGCTCAGCAATGGGGATTAGTGTTTCATCTGCCGGGTGCAATGATCAATATTCTAGCAATATCCATTAAATTCCAACGTTGCCACAGTGGGAGAGTGGGGGTTGACACAGATGTTGCCCTGCAGTGATTTAGCAGAAATGCCCAAAGCTTGTGACTTGTGTTTGGAATATTTATTGGTTGTGCATTGCCTGCCCAGTTTATAGTGTACCTGGTGGGAGGCACATGTACGCCACTGCTCTGGAATTTGATCGGCTTTTTTCTCTTCTGTACTCTTAAGGCAAACCTACTCCACAATAAACCTGCAGACTAACATGACAGCTGTACTGGTACCTGTTTTTCAGTACCCAGAGACACTGTGGAAGGCGGAGCAGAGGAGCTTGAGTTTCTGTATGGGACTAGGGTTCCTCTAAACCCAGGCTTAGCAGTGAGAACCTGAGCAAGGAGGCAGGGTCAGCCCTGCCTGCAGCTGTGGCCACTACCAAAGGCAGCCAGCACTTCTGAGGTGCAGGGCTAGGCAGCAGCAAATCTGATGTCTGTGATTCTGTGCAGATGTGGTGACCAAAATTGAGTGTAGCTGTGCTGTCTCTTTGTGCTCCAGATGTCATCCTTGGAGGAGGCTGTACAGCTCCAGCTCTCACCTGAGTTTGGTAGGATTTCACAAAAAAAAAGATGCCTGGACAGGGGTGTGTTTGTGTGAATGCTGCTGCTGTGCCCCTGGGCCCTGCACCTCTGGTCTCTGTGTGCACACCCTGCACAGCCTGTCTGGGGGCTGAGGGCAAAGGGATGTGTGCCTGAGGTCTAGTGTGGTGGGCAAACCGCACTCTCATAGGGGTGATGGTGCTTCCAACCCTGGTTTGCAACCTAGCACTTCCCAAGCTTGGATCATCTGGGCTTTACCCTCCAAGTGATACCAACCCTTACACAGTACGAACTGTAGCCGCCAAAGGTGTGACCACTGTGCACATCCGTGCACTCAGGGCATTGTAGGAGAGTAGCAGGGTGCTCATTTTGGGGGTCAGGGTGGCAGAACTCACCATAATGGGTCCTCCACATTTGCGAGCCTAGTGATAAGGCACTTCCACTGGGGGCAAAATCATTCCCATAGCTCTGCAGCTGAGGAAGTATGCTGGAGTGTTGCGGACCCTGGCCGCAATCTGTCAGCAGGATCCTGGGCTTGTGCACCCCTTTCAGCAGCAGCATGGCAGGAGAAGGTGGGAGTCAGGCTGTGGCACCTCGCATGGGATGCCTGGCCTAAGGGCTGGCTACCCCTGTGTCCCTGGGGAGAGGGATGTCAGCTCCCTAATATGATGGCACTGCCATCTGTCTGGCTTGTGCTGATTTTTTATGCAACCTCAGAAACGTGGAGTTTTTCATCATACAGGTCCCTGTTACAGGCTTTTGGGGATGATATGTATTTCATGTGGAAACACAACATTAAGATGATGGTTTTCCTCCTGCGGTTGTATATTCAGGACTACAGATGGATGCACCTGCTTCATTTCAGCAACCAAGGCATAGTGCAGAAGATGCTCTTGTGCAGCTACTGCTGTGGCTTCAAAATAGGGGTTAAGCCAGAGGAACCAGGGTGGCCAGCTGGGGTAATCCCAGCACACCACCCTCTGCAAAGCTTTCTGCATGACCACTGCGTACCCATGCCATTGCAATGCTGCTGTGAGACCTGGCGGCTCCAGCTGGAAGGGCTGCCCTGTTGCCTGGCATGGGAAGGGGCAGGGCACCCATTCATGAGCTGACACCAAGCTGTGGGGCAGGTCACTGTTGGGAAGGGAGCAGCATCCAGTGCAGCTCAGAGCACTTTGCTGGGAATAGCTGCTGTAACAAACCACCACAACTTTATCAGCCTTCCCACATGCTCCACATTAATATTACCAGATATTACCCTGCTGTAGTTTGAGCTGTGACTTGCCACGTCCCTAAACAAGGTCTTTTCAGTGCATTTTTACTGTGAAACAAAACCTAATGCCCAGGTTGAAGCTGTACAGAGGGTGAGAGCTTTGCACAGACCAGACAGCAGCAGAGGTGGTGACAGGAGTTAAAGCCAGCAGAAACCATGAGTGAAAACCACAGAGGAGGAGAAAGTACCCAAATAGGATGCATCACCCAGGGTAGTTTAAAAGCACCATTCGGCCCCTGGCAGGGTTTCTGGCTAACCTGCTAAAGTCACTTACATCTCTCGGTGGTAGGAGTCAGTATCCCCTTTCCTTAAGCAGCGCTGAACACGAGCCACGTGGTGTGGTTGTATTCTTCATCTGGCCGGAGTAGGGCGTTGGGGAAGTGGGGCTAGGGAGAGGCAGCAGCACATCAGTGATTGTAAGTGCACACCGTGGGATCAGAAAGGGTCATGAGGGCACAACTGCATTCCCTTGGCCTTCCTGGGGCCATGTCCCATGGCTCCCCCTGAGCATCTCCAGCGACAGTGTTTAATTGCCTGTTACTTGCCAGCTGGCTCAGTGGGCGAGTCCTCCCCCTGGCTGAATTGAGGTCCCATGGGGTCTTCTGCTCTAGACCCCACACCCTGGGGAAGCTAGGCTGTGTGGGGCTGGTCCCCACTGCACTGGCCAACTCCTGCCTAACACTGCAGGATGCTGTTACCTGTTCCTGCCACAGTTCTGGTGTGTACAAAGCATCGCCTTGCCAAACGGGCTCTGTACATATATTTATCGCCCCAGAGACATGGGTGGTGGTGGTGACATGGTCCTCTGCTGCAGGACCTGAGCAGCTCATGGCAGAGGGAGACATGGTTTACCTTGTTGACGGCGTCAGGCCAGTTCTGTGTTTCCAGACAGAAAGCTGAGTGCTTGGGGTACGTGACGGCACCTTTCCCTTTCAGGGAGCCGTCCAGGTTGTTCCCGGTGTAAAACTGGATGCCAGGCTGGGTGGTGTGAACCTCCATGGCCCTGCCAGTGGGTGGGTGGCGAGCCCTGGGGAGATGCCAGTGGAGGACACCAAATGGGTGCCCCATAGCTCCAGGGGTAGGGGACCCCTGGCTGGGGTCCCAGCCTACCTGGCCACAAGGTGTCGAGCCTGCGCCTGCTGAAGGCAGAAGTTGTGGTCAAAGCCATCCAGATGAAACTTCTGCAAGTGCTTCCCCAGCTCCACTGGCTGCCGGAGATCAAAGCTGGTGCCCTGCACAGTGGCCACCTCCCCTGGGCAAGGAGAACACTGTCAGATGCTCACCCACATGCCAGCAAACACCTGCAGTGCTGGCCCCTGCACAGGGTTGAGATCCCTTGCTTTGGTGAGCTGAGGGTTTTAAGCTGCTGGTGATCCTTGTCTCGTTGTGGTACCCCGCTTCAAGCAAGCTTGCCTTGTGGCCACTGTGACTTGGTCTGGGACATCAGACCTTGTCCCCTAGCAGAGCTGGCAGCCCCTGGGGACACTGCTGTGCTTAGCTGGGAGAAAGCAAAGCCTAGTAGACAGAA